ACCATACATAGCATTTGCATTTTCTGTTGTACAATTCATTTGCTGGTGTTTTTGTTATGGATAAAACGTGTCTCTTTTTTTCCCCAATAGCTGATCTGCACTCTGCCAACATCTGCGAACAAATATATTTCTATGAAGTTGTTCTATATAGTGTGTAACTGCTGATATAGAGCGTTATTACGTTTATTGTTAATGCGATGGTTGATATGGTACATTGAGAAAGGTTGCCGACCCCTGTACTGGATAAGAGCCCAGACTAAGCGTTTTTGGAAAGTGCAGCCATTAGGGAGCAGGGCTTGTTTTTAATCCATATGAACCTTTATAACATATGAACTGTATATACTTAATCCCTGTATTTATTTTAATGCTTTATGGCAGTTTTTGAACATCCGTGGCATCTATTAATGTCAAATCTAGCCTTTCTTTAACAACAAACTGCATTTACATTTACTGACATTTTCTGTTTAATTTCATTTTAAATAATAGTAATAATAATAATAATAATAACAATAGTATTTGTTTTGCTATTAAAATGTGTTTAGACACAAGTTTTGTTTTGAAAGTCCAAAGGCATAAACCCTACGGTGGCCCTGAGAGGCCAAACGGACTGCAACTTCAGAAAACACTTGCAAAAAGAAAAATGTTGCAAAAAGAAAAACGCTGCAAAAGCACACAAAGCACAACGGAAATAGGAAAAAAGACAACGGAAATGTTCCTGGGGAGACAACCCGACGGACCAGTTGCACGAACCAAAACATGCTAACCAGTGCGCTAGGACTGGGACACACTTCAAAGAAGTGGAAGAGAGGTAAATGTGTTGTAATCTCATGATTCTAATAATACTACAGATATGTTTGCAGTGTTTGGGAGTAACGAAATACAAGTAACACTGTCACGTATTTAAAATACGAGTAACTGTATTCCGTTACAGTTACTGTGTAAATAGGTGGTATTCAGAATACAGTTTTTTTGTTGAAATAAATAGATTACACATCATTATTTTCCTATTTCGTATGTTAGGCTATGCCCTCTCTATTTTTTGTTAATTCCACTCTGGTGGAAACCCAAACAAAACAAGCATTAAGAGGCTCTAATGCCTGTGTCTCAGTTTCGCGGCCCATGCCACCTCTACTTGCGGCAGTATAATGACATGACAAAATATTTTCAATAATTATTGTTCAAAAATTTTTTTAATATTAAGGCAATAGGCAGAGTATTACAGGCATAGCGATAAAGGATGTGCCCTCATGTAGTCATGTATTTTTCTAAACGCTCTGGAACAGCATCCTTCACTCTTCTTCTCATTCATGTGCTACAATGAGACCAGGCTGACAGCTGATCTTCTTAAGAACATCTTCCATGTGCAATTTGGTCCACCTGGCAGCTCTAGGCATCAAGAGGAGACGAGTACTAAGCTACTGGCAAGACTATCTGCTTTCTGTAGAAGGTATTAAATTTGGTTGAAAATGTTGAAATGAGTACATTTATGTCAGCAAACTGTAATGGCACCTTTTTCCTGTTTATTATCATTAGAAATAACTTTTATTCTCTTTACATTTTCAGAGAGAAATGGAAGTCTGTCTCTTGAAGACATCCTTATGTTTGCAACTGGACTGAGAGAAATTCCTCCTGCAGCAATTCAGCCAAAGCCACAACTTCTTTTCCAGACCACTTCACGCTTCCCTGTAGTAGATGTCTGTGCAAATACTATCAAAATCCCAGTGCTACACAGTTATGAGGACTTCCAAGAAGCCATAGATTATGGCATCCAGAACTCTCCTGGGTTTGGGCTTCCCTAAGGTCCAAGTCCTTTTGCTTTTAAGCCACATTTATGGTTTTAGCAAACATTTGAAGTTTGTGATTTTAAACTCTGAAAATTTTTTTCTAATAAGTTATAATTTGTGTAAATCACAAAGTTTAATGCATCGCAGAAAGTTCAATCAGGTTTTGGAATTTCAAAAGCATAGTATCATAGTGGGACAGTTGAACAAGTTAGACATATTTCACTGTGTTAAGAAATTGCCAATGTAACAAAATAAAACATTTCTGAAGTATTCTAATGTACTGAGACACGCTAGTATAATAACACAGGGAAAAAAATCTGATAAATTCAGTTAAAAGGCTTTATTTAATCAAACACTTCTGTGTTTGATTACATTTTTTTGTAAGATATGCAAGTTGTTCTTGGAGTTAGAAAAAGAAAAACCCACATAAATACAGGTCTCGCTGAATGCTTTTGTAAACCTTTGTTTGTAAAACAGATCTCCAAATTAATCAACGTGTTTGTTACAACACCTAATTAAAAGGAACAAGTTATTTTGTACAGTATGGTCTTTTGATTTCTTCAGGTCGAAAGCGTACACACTGAAAAGTTGACGGTAGTGAAACTATTTACAGTGGGGCAAAAAAGTATTTAGTCAGCCACCGATTGTGCAAGTTCCCCCACTTAAAATGATGACAGAGGTCAGTAATTTGCACCAGAGGTACACTTCAACTGTGAGAGACAGAATGTGAAAAAAATCCATGAATTCACATGGTAGGATTTGTAAAGAATTTATTCGTAAATTAGGGTGGAAAATAAGTATTTGGTCACCTCAAACAAGGAAAATCTCTGGCTCTCACAGACCTGTAACGTCTTCTGTAAGAAGCTTTTCTGTCCCCCACTCGTTACCTGTATGAATGGCACCTGTTTGAACTCATCATCTGTATAAAAGACACCTGTCCACAGCCTCAAACAGTCAGACTCCAAACTCCGCCATGGCCAAGACCAAAGAGCTTTCGAAGGACACCAGGAAAAGTATTGTAGACCTGCACCAGACTGGGAAGAGTGAATCTACAATAGGCAAGCAGCTTGGTGTGAAAAAATCAACTGTGGGAGCAATCATCAGAAAATGGAAGACATACAAGACCACTGATAATCTCCCTCCATCTGGGGCTCCACGCAAGATCTCATCCCGTGGGGTCAAAATGATCATGAGAACGGTGAGCAAAGATCCCAGAACCACACGGGGGGACCTGGTGAATGACCTGCAGAGAGCTGGGACCAAAGTAACAAAGGTCACCATCAGTAACACACTACAACGGCAGGGAATCAAATCCCGCAGTGCCAGACGTGTTCCGCTGCTGAAGCCAGTGCATGTCCAGGCCCGTCTGAAGTTTGCCAGAGAGCACATGGATGATACAGCAGAGGATTGGGAGAATGTCATGTGGTCAGATGAAACCAAAGTAGAACTTTTTGGTATAAACTCAACTCGTCGTGTTTGGAGGAAGAAGAATACTGAGTTGCATCCCAAGAGCACCATACCTACTGTGAAGCATGGGGGTGGAAACATCATGCTATGGGGCTGTTTTTCTGCCAAGGGGACAGGACGACTGATCCGTGTTAAGGACAGAATGAATGGGGCCATGTATCGTGAGATTTTGAGCCAAAACCTCCTTCCATCAGTGAGAACTTTGAAGATGAAACGAGGCTGGGTCTTCCAACATGACAATGATCCAAAACACACCGCCCGGGCAACAAAGGAGTGGCTCCGTAAGAAGCATTTGAAAGTCCTGGAGTGGCCTAGCCAGTCTCCAGACCTCAACCCCATAGAAAATCTGTGGCGGGAGTTGAAAGTCCGTGTTGCTCGGCGACAGCCCCAAAACATCACTGCTCTCGAGAAGATCTGCATGGAGGAATGGGCCAAAATACCAGCTACTGTGTGTGCAAACCTGGTAAAGACCTATAGTACCGTATTTCCCGGACTACAAAGCGCACCTAAATATTAGCCGCACAAGCTAAAATCAGGGGAAAATCCTGTTTTGTACATACATTAGCCGCACCTGACCAAAAGCCGCAGGTGTTTCAATGTTGACTTATCATATGTAAGAGAATATGCACAAAGCGAATTGTCAGGAAAGAGATGGCTGTTTGGAGACATCACTTTTATTAATATTTTGAAAAACAAGTTATGGGTACATATTTGCACATGTAGTACATAACAGTAACCTACAGCACACCAGAAAAATAGATTCAGACTACCTTTTAGGCTCAGGTGCAGTGACACAGCTTTAACAAGAAGAAAAGTCAGTCATTCACCATCTTTCTCTTCTTCCTGCGCACTAAAACCACCAAAGTCCTCTTCTCCAGTGTCGGATACAAACAGGCTCAGGATGGCTTCGTCATCCACTCTTCTTCTCTCCTTCGTTGTCACTTTCAAAACCAAAGAAATCCTCATTGTCAGTGTCAGAGTCGAACACCCTCAGAAGGGCCGTGGCGGTGTCCTCCTCTCCATCATGCAGCAGTCCAGCCCTTCAAAATCCGTTGGTGATCGTGGATGTTTTCACACTTTTCCACGCTGTCAGAATCCACCGGTGGAGTTGGGCATAACTTGCAAGTTTATCGCCGCTCATCATCCACGCCTCCCGCTGAATGCGTAGCGCTACTTTGAAGTTTGTTTTTCGCGCTACTTCGTATGGCACTACGTTGCCTGGCGGACGGACATGTGACTAACATACCACTCTTGAACCCCGATCCTTCCGCCAGGCAACGTAGTGCCGTACAACAGCGGAACACACAAAACAAATCGTCTTACGATATGACAAAAATCATGGACAATCCATAGAAAAGCCGCACCTGACTAAAAGCCGCAGGGTTCAAAGCTTGTGCAAAAAGTAGCGGCTTATAGCCCGACATTTACGGTAAACGTTTGACCTCTGTTATTGCCAACAAAGGTTATGTTACAAAGTATTGAGTTGTATTTTTGTTATTGACCAAATACTTATTTTCCACCCTGATTTACGAATAAATTCTTTACAAATCCTACCATGTGGATTCATGGATTTTTTTTTTCACATTCTGTCTCTCACAGTTGAAGTGTACCTCTGGTGCAAATTACTGACCTCTGTCATCATTTTAGGTGGGGGAACTTGCACAATCGGTGGCTGACTAAATACTTTTTTGCCCCACTGTATATAAAAACTATGGTACTATTTTTTTTTTTAAATACTCATTAAAGTTGGTTTGTGACAATTAGTGTCAGTGGTAATTGTACCCACATCTAGCAGATGATTTTACATTGACTTCTAAAGTCCAGTCATATTTTTGAGTGTTATATAATTTTCAACTGCAGTAGTCCAGTTGACTGGTCGAGGGAGCTCACTCTGTCTTTCCAAGTTTGTGAAATGAACCTGGAGATTGTCGTCCCCACATAGACTGTACTGAGCAGGTAGAATGTCATCAAACTGGTGCAGGATGTCTTGAGGCACTTGGAATCCACACTCTCTTCCACCATACCTTAGGTCAGTCAGAAAAATGAACAAATTCAGTCACTTCTCCAGGTACTATCCTTCAAGGTTACAGCAAAAGCGCAAAGTCAATCTTATAATTAAAAGTCAGTTCTGGAAATTGTGATTTTAAAGAATCTTAATTATGCATATATCTACATTTGTCATTTTTAGCCAAGATGTGATCCAAAGTTAAAATATGATTGTCTAACATTTTTTTTTTGGAAAAAAATATAAAAATAAAACGTAAGTGCATGAAGTCAGAGAACAGAACTAATGGCAAAACACAAGTGGCAGCTTTAATTTCTATTCAGCAAAAAGGTGAAAACAACAAAAAATACTATTCAATTGCAAAAGTGTGTGTAATACCTGCTGTGAGTAACAGTTAGGGCAAATTGTTAAACCTAAATGGCATACTGCTTACTTAACTCAAGTGGTTAGGTCAAGAAAAAAAAGAGTGCACATAAGGGATGGACTGTTCCTGAACCATTTTATAAATGAACAACAGGTTTAATAACAGCAAGCTGGACAGGTATCCTGCACATACAATACACTATACTGAGGAAGAAAAATTTTAGTAAAACTATGAAATAAAATACATGGACTAAATACATACCTATGAGGCAGGTGATACATGGCTTCTGGTTTACCAGATGGACAACAAGATTGGCGCACAGGTCGGATGGTGTGAGTGTTCCAGAGATCTCTGTACTCGTCAAGCTCTTTTTGCAAGACATTGAGGAAGACATATCGTAGAAGGCATTTATGTTCATGACTGCCGTTGAAAAGATGCCTCTCCCTCAGGTCACTGAAGAGTTCAATCCAGAACTGAGTTCTAATGGTGGAATGACAAGGCATATAAAATTTAATAACACAAGTAATTCAATGTAATTGTCCTCTTTAAAAAAAAAGTCGTAATCGTAAGAATATTGAAATGTGCGCAATTTCGTTCAAAGAAAAGCTTATTCACATGTTCTGAAGTGTTTCATCAATGCACTGCAGGAAAAAAAAGCGCAACTTCACACAAATAACAAAATTTAACAAAATGATTAATCCTTCTGTTATTCCTGCATTTGGCGGTTGAACTTAAGAAAAGTTGTAATATACAGGTCTGTCCATATAAATGTACTATTTTGTTTCTCCATGAACACTGAAGCTGTTATCACTTGTTAGATACCACACAGAAATCCAAAAGCTAGTGAAAACATCAGTAATTTTTTTTTGGCACACAAAGTTGAAGAAATGTCTGAAACGAATGACCTCCTCTAACAAATTTCTGTCATGTTGGATCAATGTTCTTATATTACTCATATTACAGTTCTCAAATTTGAAGAATCCCTTGTTCTTTTATTTATATGACTCCCTACAGGTAAACTATTTGATCTAGATGTTAGTTTGGTACTACGTAGGCACACAAATTTGAATACATTTTACTCAGTTTTAAATACATCAATCTTTACTGATGCCATTGCCTCTAGGATTCATAATAATTTATTAAAATGTTGAATGTCAGTTTGTTTGTTGTTTTTTATAGTTCCTTTTTAGGTGGAATGTCTGAGTAGGATTTTCCTTTTGAGTGTGTTGTTTTAATACAAACAAATGTCACTGGTATACCAAACCATTTATTATATTTTTTGAAGCAGTTGTGCATCACATGAGAAAAATGTGTAGGTGACTATGTTTTTCTTTCTTTGTTTGTGACTGTAATTTAATATTTGAGTATAAAACCCCACCCACAAAAAAAAGTATATCGCTGACCACGAAACACCTTCAGAACCATTCAATTTTAGTTTCAGAATATATTTTAAAAGCCATGTACCTTTGCTTTCTGAACGAAGACCACCAACTTTCAATCCGTTGATTTGTAGTTGAGGTACCATACATATGACTGTGGGCTCCTGCAAGTTCATCTCCATGGTCTGATCTTAAAGCACAGTGAATGGCTGCCATTGTGCCATTTTCTGTGCCACAGTCTGTACGAAGGCATGCTGGAAGTTGACCAAACCGTGACAAGCACTCCATATAATATTTTGCAATGATACCTGCGTATCATTTGAGCTGCCACAGCTGAGCCACATAACTTTCCTTGAAAATCCATCGACACATGCACTAATAGCAACACCAAAGGGCTTCAGCTTATCATAACCATCCACATGCCACACTTGATTTGGTCCTTCTGAAAAATATCCTCTTCGAACAAACCTGCGTTTACAGCGACGCTTAACACCATATGGATCTAGTCTTGAGAGTATGTGCATTACATCATTTCTTTTAACTTTCAGATTATACTTTTGTCGCAGTGTCTGACACATGGATCTGTAACCCAGAAGCTGACCTGAGCCTCTCAGTTCTTGTGTAACAGTGGAAATGACAATGTCAGTGGGAGTAAAGTCTGTCCTTCTAGTCATTCCAGCATCTTTTAGCCTCCTCTTTAATGTTCTCAGACTCATACAAATATTATGCTTGTTTTCAAGAAAATCCAGGATCACTTCATATGTATGGCCCTCAGAGAAATACTTATTGATGATGTCTGTGACTGAGACTGGGCCTAAGGTTGAAGAGAAAACATGAAAAGATAATTACGACCGCAGGAATCCATAAATGCACTTAATAAGTGTTTTTTAAAAAAAACCACATCTGAAACAAGTCTCAATAAACATGACTCAAGTATTTAATCTTCTTGATGTGTGCTTAAATAAAGGCCAGCAAAAGCTCAAAGAACATGGACCAGGATTCAGGACTTATCACTGTCATTAAGACCTCTATGCTGACAACTCAAAATGAGCAAAATTAGAGAAGTTAGAAGAATTTCGTCACTGTGTACATATGCCCTATTAAGTCATAAACTAGTTTTTAAAATTATGCTGTAGAACCGGTGGCAGGCTTAAACCAGAATACAGTTCTTAGTACCTAGCAGTTCATGCCTTTGCGTTTTTGGAATTCTGATTTATCTTGGCATACAGAGTCTTTATCAATACAAAAACCTTAGAATAAGGAAATGAATATACCGGTAGTACTTTGGAATGGCACATCAATAATAATCCCCCCCCCCAAAAAAAGTTTAACACTCACTACTGAAGCTACTGTGGTGTATATAAGTCATTATGAAGCAATTAAAAGGTGAGCAATAAATACTAGAACTTAGGAAAGTGAAGTGCTTACCATTCTCTATAAAAGGTGCTAAAACTTGAATGTTAGTTCCACAGGACCCACAAAAAACTCCAATTTGCCCCACTAGCTGGATTCCACAATATGGACAATACATTGCCTGATGAAGACACAATGCCAAATTAAAACCTGAACACATTAACTGCAATATTCCTTAATGACTTTGACTTATTAGTATTTGTTCTCGAGTTTAAAAAAGCTTCATTTCTAAGGCTACATTAAACATTATCTTTGTTAGAATTATCTTTGAATGTATATTCCAGATATCTGTAGTATTATTAGAATCATGAGATTACAACACATTTACCTCTCCTCCACTTCTTTGAAGTGTGTCCCAGTCCTAGCGCACTGGTTAGCATGTTTTGGTTCGTGCAACTGGTCCGTCGGGTTATTGTCTCCCCAGGAACATTTCCGTTGTCTTTTTTCCTATGCTTTGTGCTTTGTGTGCTTTTGCAGCGTTTTTCTTTTTGCAGCATTTTTCTTTTTGCAAGTGTTTTCTGAAGTTGCAGTCCGTTTGGCCTCTCAGGGCCACCGTATAAACCAGATTAGTGTTCTGTTAAATGGTTAAAGTTTAGGTTGGCTTTATAATTTCTTCTATATTCTTCTAAAGAATTAAGTTAAATTCCACAGTTGAATCATAAGAAACATTTTGGGCTTGCCTATGTTACATATAAACACCGCCTCATGTTTTATCTGGTCATTGTGCTTATTAGAAACTTTATATGTTGGAAGTTAACTTTTAACAAGCATGTAATGATGATATAGATGGTCTTTTTTTAAACACATATCTCTTTAGGCCTAAACTGACAGTGCCAATACCACACATTCAGACACAGTAGTAGATGGTGTCTTTAATACTATATGTACTAGTCTAATTTGGTTGTATGGGGTCTACATTGACCTTCTGTGTTGTAAGTTATAACGACTGCACAGTCATTAAGGATCAAAACAGCTTCTAAATAATTTTATGGTTTTTCTCCCTCTGCTTGCTTCTTACTGTGTTTGAGGCTTGGACCAGCACTTCCCACATGACATCAAATTCTTACAAGTCTAGAAAAGGAGCTGTTGGACAGAAAGACTGAGTGGTAAGTATTTTGGCTTTCCAGTATATTAGTAATTGTCAGTGACATTTATATTAATCAGGCTGAACTTCAACCTGATTTACTTGTTGCTTCATTTGTGCTTTGGTTCGGGGAAATTGTTTCTTTACTGATTTTTTCCTGTCTTCTCTTATTAGACTTGAGATATTATATATACACTAACCTATTGTAAGTTACATGTCTACTTTTTAATGCACAGGTACAATACACAATCTGCACTTTTCTAATTATTCTAAATATTCTTAACTATTTAAACATCTTTCAGTATCCTGCTCTGTTTGCACACTATCTGTATGCTAATTTTAACAACTGTACTGTACTCTGCTCTGGTAACTATTGTCCATGATGTAAATATGTAAAAATTGTGTTTTTTGTTTTCTGTTCTGTGTCCTGTTCTTTTTGTATATGTGTGGAGTTTTTTTGCTGCTCATACAACCAAATTTCCGCTTGTGGGACAATTAAAGGATTATTCCATTCTATTCTATTCTATTCTATTCTATTCTATATCACTGCTCTACGCTGTTGCTGATGACTCCAGTTAATTTTACAAGACATGCTGTGTAAGTTAATACAAACAGCAACAGTTTGGTCTGTATTTCTTGAAAAATCATATCCCACAAACATATCCCACAGATGACACGCGAAGGGTTAAGTGATGGCACGACCATAGCTGGACTGGCCATTGGGCATACCGGGCATTTGCTCGGTGGCCCGATGATTTTTTTTTTTTTTTTTTTTTCGTAACAGTTTAAACAATGAAAGTGGTGGATTGGTCAGATGCTGGTCGGTGTGTAAAAATAACTCAGTTGTTTGGTGGTGGCTATGGCGGAGCTTCCACAGATTCAGTAACATTAATAAGTGGTGGATGCCAGCAGGTGGATGAGGGAGAGGGGAGGCAAGAGGGGAGACCCGAGGCGGCCCCCGGTCCGAGTGTCAGGTGAACTGAACTTCAGGTCAGAAGTTATGACCTGCAGTCTATCTGGGTCAGATATAAACCAAGTTTAGGTGGAGTTCATTTTCGTTGTGCTGACTTTTTACAGTCAGTTACAATAACTCGTAGGCTACTGCGTGCTAGCTAGCATGATGGAGTTTCTATACAGCTGGGTGGGTGTTATGATGTTACTGATAGTGAACTTTATTTTATTCATAAGTTTAGTTAGTAGAGTTGCCAATCGTCCCGTAAAAAACGGAATCGTCTCGTATTCAGAGAAAATATTACGAGTTTCGTGTTGAGCTGAGAAGGAACACAGTTTGTCCCGTAGTTCAGCTACAATGAAAAAGACACAAAGCTGGAGTTATTCTGTCTTTACGCTGCACAGCTGTCTCTTCTTCTCTCATCCTCTCCCCCTCTCTTTCCTGTTGCTTCTTCAATCATGAAACTGATCCATGATCAGCTGATCAGCTTTTCTCTCTTGTTTATTTATCGCCCACTTTGCGCCAGAAAGAGGAAACCAGCGGATGTCCTTACTGAATCATCAGAGCTGAACAGATGATGGAGAAACAGGTTTACCTTTTAGGTGACATGAATGAGTTGAAGGGTTGGGTTGAATATTAGCAAACATGCCATATTGGCTTAGTTTATCTTTTTTTTTTGTTTCAAAACAGCTGATAACTATTCGCTGATGGCTGCAAACATCTGCAAACAAATATAATACTGTTAAGTGGTTCTATATATTGTGTAACTGTTCATATAGAGCGTTATTAAATTTATTGCTAATGCAGTCATACGGCACACTGACTTCTTAGGAAATTTTAAATGTCACTCGTCATCAGAAAGGTTGCCGACCCCTGGTCTACACTGTCTACACTGTATATAGTGAAGTCTGCAAGTTTTTGAATAGTGAACAAATCATTTTGCAGATTATCAGTATGAAAAGTTATTGGCCATGTTTGCATAGCCCTTTTTAAAATAATGCTTTCATGACATTATTGTGTGTCAGGTGGTGGTCGGGGCTATCCAGACTGACAAGTGGGACATTGAATGTCACCTCTCCAGTGGGCAGGGAGCCTGAGATTGTCTAAATTGGGGTTTGTTCTGTAGCAAATGATTGAAAAAATGTTTTAAGAAAGCAAATAGTTGGTGTTCTAAAAAATATGATTGTTTGCTTGCAGGACACCAGGACAGAAGAGTCCTCTGTCACAGATGGTTGGTCAGTGAAGATGGTCGCCTTCAGGTTCAAGCTCATTGCATCTCCAACCCACATCCACTGCCACTGGACTTAAGGGAAGTTAAAGACTTTCTTCTACACTTACATTTGGATCACCTCGATCCATGGCAGTCATTCAGGCAGTAATGCCTGGACTGGAAACAAGCCATCCTTAAAATATTACAACATACCAAGTTTCTGTGTTTGAATACAAAACAAATGTGTTGTTTGATCTAGAGACAGCACAATAAATAAATTTTATTTTGATTATATAAATAATGTAACTATTGCTGTTGAAAGCATATAAAACAAGTCCTTATAAAACAAGATATGATCATTATACGTTTGTTTGTGTATGGTAAGTCCAGTTGGCATTCTTTAGCTTTAAGATGGTGCAGGTTTAGAGTAAACCATGGTGCTGAGTGGAAAAATTAGACAGTTCAGTGTTTAAAGAGAGCAAATATTCATATTTATCAGGAAATGAGGAGCTGTGAATAAATGAAAGGTCATAAATGGCAGATGAAAGATCAGCAGGGTTAATATTACTAATTTTGCTAAATGTGATGTCATGGGGAGTACAGGATTTGGAGGCTGTTGTATTTACAGAAAGTTACTGTAATCATATGTTTATTTCAGTTACAGAAATAAACATACGAGCAATTGTGGTGTATAGTTCAAAATAAATGTTTTGGGGTTTTTTTCAGAAAAACATCGGCTCTTTTTAATAAATGTTTATTTCCCAAGGACTTTCTAAAAGATCCGAACAGTCGACATTCCAGACAGATTTGGTATTTAACGCTAAATCAGAGTTAACGTACTAATTCTCCAAAAAGAGTTAAATTAACACTCTCTGGAGTGGACTCGTATGGACACTTTAACAGTGTTAAAATCAAATCTGACCGTGTTAATTTGGCCATGCTGGATTTGCTGTGCTGTGTTAACAGGGTAACAGGTCACATCCTACACCCCCAATATATTAGCCAAAAATGTGCTAATAAACTAAGACTGTAGACAGTCACTGATCACCACATGTAGAGTATTTGTCAGTTATGTGCAGACCCTTTAAATTCCAGCCTGAAAAAGAACATCACAAAGTCCAGCTTCAAAATAAAACTGAGGACCACCTCCACACCAACAACTCCAGGCAGGTGTGTGTGATATTTAGTTAGTGACGTTCACTAACTGACAAACACAGACCCGAAGTGGTGCTGCAGCTGCACCAGAAGGAGCTACATCCCATCCACCACCAAACATCAACCATATCTTCACGGGGGTTTGACCTGGTGTTTTTCAGTTCAAATATTTATTAAATATTCCCAAACATTTAGTTTGGTTTTTATGAACTATTTTAGAGCTTTTGTTTTATTTCTTTTGTGTGCTTATTTTTGTTATTTGTGGTAATGTTGAGTTAATTTTGCTGTGTCCTCCGTTTCCATGTTAGGTGTCCTGTTGTTTGAATCTGCCTTGTTTGTACCATCTGGTCATAATGTCTTTAGCAGATGCCTTTGGCGACTGCAAATACTTTGGAATTTTATATTTCTTCTAAAAAGATAAATCCATCCATTTTTTTTCACTCATCCAAATCAGGGTCACTGGAGCCTATCACAGCTGCCATAGGGCGAGAGGCAGGTCTGCGTCTCTCTAACACAGAGAGACAGACAACCATTTGCACTCACATCCACACCTATGGACAATTTAGACTCCAATGAACCTAACCTGACTAACTGCATGTCTCTACACAGAAAGGCTAGATAGTGGAGTTGTTTGAATTATTTGCATATCAGTGTAGATATCTAGTGATTTCCTCCCATTTAGATCCGATCTGCTTTTAAAGTGTCCCTTTACGTTTTTAAGCTGTATATTAGTACAACTGAAAACCACGGTGACTGGCTTGGCGACTGACAAATGAATCAAATCAGAAAACTTAGAATTCATCTTGTCACTTCATCAGTAAACAATAATGACCCAGTTTTCACAAAGCCCTACAATAATACTGCCTCCACTTTGACAGATGATGTGATGGGCTTCAAATAATAAGTCATGTCTCTCCTTCTATATACTTTTCTCTTCCCATCATTCTGGTAAAATCTTAGATGTTTTCAGAAAAGTATAACCTGCCCCTCTCCTCGAGTCTTCCCAAGTTGGTTACACGAAAGTTTGAAAACACACACAGAAAACAAAACAAAAAAAATAGTCACAATAGTTTAATTTTTGATATTTTATTCTGAGAATCTTGAGCTGTGTGAAAAATGATGGACATAATTATGTTAATTATAATAATTATAATTATTAATTATAATTATATAAGTATGAGGACATAATTAAAAGCATGAACATGATTTTCATTATCAAACATCAACAACATTTCATCTGCAGTGTGTGTATCCTGACAGTTTTCTTTAGCAAAAATAAAAAGATAAAACACAAAAGCGTATTTAAAAAGGCACTTTCTTTTCAGACTGCAAAATATTCACATTTATTTACAGCAGAACAGCTCAGGGTTATAGTTAATTACATTAAGTTAATGTATGTTTAGTGTTAGAAAACAAAGAAAACTTATTTCCCTTGTTTGGAGCATTCTAAAGGAAAGAATTAACTTGAGACAGTTGTTTGACAAACCTTCTGTTATCAGACAAATTTCCTTTCAAATGTTATTTAGATATTTACTGAAATATGAGTCCAGCTGGAAACACAAATCCATCCAGAGTGGGCAAATGCACCAAGAGCAGGTGGAGCCATTTCTCTGCTCCGTCCTATCCGATTGTTCAGTCTGACGTCACTAGTCGTGTCTGAGCCTAAACTCCGCTGCAGGTCCATATATCAAACGATCACTGTGGCATTGCTGAGAGTTGAAAAACTGTCTAAAGCCATTTCTCTACTCCGTCCTATTAAACTGCTGCAGAAGAGGAAAGCACAGGACATTTAACCTCAGACCTCTCATGGAATAAATACAACAGTAATTTAATATTTTAAACCTATTTCAGGTGACAGGATGACAGTTCATGTGTGGGATAAAGAAAAACATTGATGTGCTGCATCTGTTTTCATTCAAATAGAAAAAAACCCCCCAAATGCCCAGTGTTGAAAAGATGGTGTTAGACGGTATTTGAAAGTATTTTTTATCAAGTACTGAGGACTTTGAGATAAACATTTATACTTTTATTTTTTATACAGATATATGTGAAGTGATGATGATCAAAGTATTAGAAAAATGGCTTTGGTGGCCGAACAGGAAATATTTCTTTTGCACAAATGCAGCAGAAACTACATCCCTCCATCCTGACATTTAACCATGTGCTAAACCACAGGATTAAAATCTGTTCTGAACTTTTAAACTGCTGAAAATACCAAAAATAATCCAACATGTCCAAGCTGCTGTGCTCCAAAACTTAATTTGGTTCTCATAAAACAAACATAAGCAACACACACACCGTACTTCACACACTTTGTTCAGCATTGAGTTTCTGTTCCTGGGCTGAGGGTTCAGAGGACTCCTTCTTGTTTGATTCTGCAGATTGGAAAACAAACTGTGTTAAAAAGTCATAACTGAGCAGAAATGCAGTGCTATGTGTTTGAGTAGCGGAGTGCACGATGACACATGAGTGTGTTTGAATTATACTTGCTGATATGGCAACATAACTACAGCGGGCAGATTCGCCCACTTTTATTATGATTACAGACAAAACACTAAACCGTCTTTATGAATAAATCGTGATGTTTGCTGTTTAACCATCTTCATCAGCCTCTGCAGTGTTCCTCCTCTTTACTCACAATAAGCTTTAGTTCATTTCAGTTTGTTTCATTAATATATTCAAAAATAAAGTGAAATAAGCAAGATTGTAAAAATGACGGTCACACAAAAATATGAGAATGTTCATAAATACCGTAATTGTCGGGCTATAAGCCGCTACTTTTTGCACAAGCTTTGAACCCTGTGGCTTTTAGTCAGGTGCGGCTTTTCTATGGATTGTCCCTGATTTTTGTCATATCGTAAGACGATTTGTTTTGTTTGTTCCGCTGTTGTACGGCACTGCGTTGCCTGGCGGAAGGGCATGTGATCAGACACACAGTATCGGTGTTCAAGAGTGGTATGTTGGTCACATGTCCATCCGCCAGGCAACATAGTGCTGTACAAGTAGCACGAAAAACAAACTTCAAAGTAGCGCTACACGTTCAGCGGGAGTCGTGGATGGTGTGCGGCAATAAACTTGCGAAAAGCAAGTTATGCTCAACTCCACCGGTGGAATCTGACAGCATGGAAAAGTGTGAAAACATCCATCCATCCACCTGAGCCTAAAAGGTAGTCTGAATCTATTTTTCTGGTGTGCTGTAGGTTATTGTTATGTACTACATTTGTTACCCGTTTATGAAGCACAGCACATGTTTCGTACTTGTAATTACCGCTACTTGTACGTATACCTAAAAAGTTATGCAAATATGTACCCATAACTTGTTTTTCAAAATATTAATAAAAGGGGTGTGTCTCCAAACAGCCATCTCTTTCCTGACAATTCGCTTTGTGCATATTCTCTTACATATGATAAGTCAATATTGAAACACCTGCGGCTTTTAGTCAGGTGCGGCTAATGTATGTACAAAACAGGATTTTCCCCTGATTTTAGCTTGTGCGGCTAATATTCAGGTGCGCTTTGTAGTCCGGGAAATACGGTACATTAAACTTACCTTTTTAATTCATGAAGTAATACCTGACAAGAATCCCAACTACAATAGCAAGAACAACAGCAAGAACAGCAACAGCTACAATCAATCCAGTGTTTGGTTCTGGAACTGAAGAGAAAACATTGGTGTAACTCAGACTGTGACTGCATGTCAGGAACAAACAGCAGGTTTAAACAGCGAGCTCAGTGATGTCAGCATGGATCCAACTTCCTGTTTCCTCCTGCTCGTCTCCACAGCTCACAGGCTGGCTCTGGTTCTGCTCTCAGCTGTAAAGATGATGTTGGAGTTTTGTCTTGTATGAAAGATGTTTGAATCTGTGCTGCTGCTCACAGACTGCTGCTTTCCTTTTACTGAGCCTCACATCTGAAAACATGTGTGAGTCTGTGTGTAATCGAGGTTTCCTCCACCCTGAGCTTCTTAGCTACACACATCATTAAAGTGAATCTCTTCAGACTGATGATTGTAGAAAACAAGAAATATGAATCTGTCAGTGTAATGACCGCCTGCTGCACTGCCAACAGATGACTCTCTGCACTGGAGGATTTTGGACTGTTAGGATCGATTTTTTATGTATGCCAAAAAAAAAATCTTTATGATCCCCAAGACTAATAATTTTTCATTAGTAGTTGTATTCTCAGACACATTTCACTTTGTTTGTTACAGATTCAACAGAGGGAAGTCAATTACTCTGTACATATTTCTCAAACCTTAGGGTCACTCAGTTTATTAAATTGCTGCTCAGTTTTTGAGTAGTAGAAATAATTGGGCCTCAGCTCTAAACTCACCCATATGGAAAAGAAATAGAAAAACCTTATAAAAGACTTGCATAAGATGTGGCCTACTTCATATAGTAAATCATTTAAGGCTCATATGATTTACTCATGAAAGTGGCCACTTTCTCATTACTTTCATACATAGTTTTAGTAAGTATCCAAAACATACAAGTTTCATTATATAATTTTTCAAGGGATCTTATATCTGTTTTCACTCTTGTATGCTTTTCATACAAGTTTCACACAAGACAGATACAAACTTTATAAGATTTATATGTATCTTTTCCATATGGGGAGGCTGAGGAGAATCAATATCAGGGCTAACTGTAATGATAAAGATCTCTGGTCCCTGTGTGTGAAGTGCTGAGGATTGAGGCTCAGATGGAGCTCAGAATTTATCCAGTGAAGAGCTGCAATATTACAAATTATTCCACCTGAAATCTTCACACCTGACCTGTATGATGTTGGATGAACACCAAACACGACTTAGTTACTGTGTCACATCGGTAAATGTGCGATTGCTCCGGTAAATAGAGAATACAGAAACAGCAGTTCTGTTTTACTGTCGCCTTCCATTACCATGACTGGCCTGTGTTACTTTTGTGTGAGATTACTTTGGAAGCACTCGTTTGTCTAAGCCAACACTGCCACCTACTGGCAAAACTCAATATTGCTTTAGTGCCACATCAGGTGAGAGTAAATGAGCTTTTTCGCTCTGTACTGTGTCAAACTACTGTCACAACAAAAACAAAAAAGGTGATGTGGTGTGGGGGTCGACCACCTTAAAACTACTTTGACAAGAACTCTGAAACTTGTTTTTAATGCTTAAAATCCTCAGGGTGCCTCACATTCAGTCCTATTAACAACTGAATTTGACAGATATTTAAATTTTGGTTTGTTACAGAGTCAACAGAAAGAAGTTCGCTGTGTGCGCCCTGCTGAGAAAAACACAGCTCAGTTCTGCTCTGCTCAGTTTCATGAAAGGTCCTAAAGCAAAGTTTCAACACTGCTCTAACAGCACTGAGTCGGTTCTTATAAAATCTCCCTCTCTCCTTCAAAATAAACACTCCTAGAATAAACTGTGATGAGCTCAAAAGTTCCATTTTACTCCTGAGATCTGAAAATACAAGGTTAATTTAGGTCTACATATTATTTCTTTTTGAATAATTAAATACAAGTAAAATATTGGTAAAAACACAAAATTCTAAATTGTTTAAAATAAAGTCAAAATGTGCCTTTGGAAAAGGCTTGGAAAATATCAGTCTGCTGGTGTGTAGGGCCACCTCTTTTCTTTCCACTTTACTGACTGGGTGTTTGTGGAAGGCGCAGTTTTTGGCTTTGCTCATATTCCAAAACATGCTTCATTTTGAGGTGATAAAACAAATTACTTGTATTCCTTCTCTTCACTATTACTGTCGGCCGGCGTAATTTGCAGATGATATTTTTCAGCTCAACTTCCGACTGCTTAAAACCAAACCAGGTCAATATGACCAACGTCACACCGGTCTTCTTCACCTCCTCCTCCCCACACGTAAGCTCCATGCTTGCAGCTGCTGCAATGCTTTCAACCAAAACAGGCGCAACCTGATGACATCATCAACATGCACTATCGCAGTAGCGCAGTATAAGCTGTGTTTAGTGATGTGCGATACCACTGATTTCCTTTCCGATCCGATACCAAGTAATATTCAGGGTGGTATCGACGATACTGATCCGATACTTTATACAAAAAAGGATTTTATTTATTGTATCTCAAATTATAGCGTCATAATGATTACAGGACACCAGATTACTTGTTCTTATCACTTAATAATGCAGAATTCATCACATAGAAATAAAAAAACTAAAGTTGTGCGCTATTTGAACACCTTGCCTGCCTGCAGGACTAAAGGCCTCCATGAGAGACGTCTGTCTCGCCCTAGCAGCACCTGTCCCTGTCCTCCTCTTCAGTTCGCCTCAACATACGCTCGTCATATTCTGTGATATGATTTACTCTGAGGTGTTTGACAAGGTTAGTGATGTTGCCACAACCATACATGCCAACCCTCCTGATTTTTCCGGCAGAATCCCACTTTTCTCCAGATTTTCCACCTGGACAACAAAGTTGAAAAATCATATTGCAGAATTCCTAGCATGGCCCAGCCAATTCCAGTTTCCAACAATGACGGCAGCGACTTAGTTTTAATATCACTCTTATTTCTCTTTCTGGGTCGCAAAAAAACTTTTTACATATTTTCAGGTGAGAATGTAGCTGTGTAAACTTCAAATATCTGAGCCGACCAACACATCGTTTTCAAACCCCCGCGGTCTTTCACCACTCGGGTTAAACATGATGTACAAGTCACTTTGATAACTTAAAAATGTTATTGTTTGGCTTTTTCAGTGTTTTATTTGTTCGTGAGTAAATTGGTTTGGCTGAGATTAAAATTATTAGATTAGATTAAATTAAATTAAACTTTATTATTCCCTCGGGAGGGTTCCTCCGGGGTTTTCACACAGCTGAACAAACGTCAAACAGAAAACTGATTAAACAGAAGAGTTTACGTCAGGCCCTGTTATATTTTAGATAGCAAGGAGCAGACGGCAGAGTTTCACTCCACCGAGGGAGCTCGTGACGTACTACCCGGCTTTCTTTAGACCGCGAAGGCCGGGTCCTCAGGTGGAAGCAGCCTCTGAATTTGGACATTTTGAATGTCTCCCTAATTCTGAGGTCTCAAGGTTGGCAAGTATGGCCACAACTCCTCACTCTTGGAGCACTTTTTTGCCACATGTATCCAAACCACGTCTCAGCTGTTTGTGGAGGTAAAATACATCCACACAATTACGCTCAGCCATTGTTGTGAGTGCGCACGCCAAGGGGCTGCGAGACATTTATACAGCCATATTTCGCACATGACTATGAATCCCCGTTAGCTTGTTAACGCGGGCTGCACGGTGTCAACACATTAGCGCGGTTAGCTTGTTAACGCATTAATGCTGCGTTAATGCGGCTATGGCGTTAACATTGTTTTAATTAGATTAACACTGAAAGCACTAATATATATACATACTGCCTGGCCCACAGGAAAACAAACAAGTCACCATCTGGATTTAACGGCGCAGGTGTGGCAAATGTCCTCTATTAAATTGCAGGTTCAATGGACTCAAATTATGAAAGAGTGACTCCCTGAACAGGGAGCTCAAGGGATCATATTCACATTGGCCTCTACAGAGTCGAGACGTCAACCCCACTCTGAATCTTTCTGATGGAGAAGACTTTACACAGCAGTACGATTCTCCCATCATCAAAACTCTCAAAATTATTGAAACTCTGCATGAAAATAAATATGGCGAAAAAGGGCCATCATCAAAGCTAGCTGTGGTCCGACATGTTAGAGTGTGTGACTTTTTTTCCCCGCTGTGCAGTGTACATGCCACTGTATGCCATAACATTTGCACTCCACATATTTGTTTCATTTATTTATGTATTGATCAAAAGGTCATTCATTAATCTCTTAAAAGGCCTCCTGAGATCAACTTTCAGATCCAGGATTAACTCATCCTGGTTATATTCATCAGGTTTTCTGTTCTTTAAAGCCTCACAAGATTTAAATTAACCAAGATGGATTTAATCACCTGATATGAATTTATGCTTTTCTGATCCCAGTGTAGAGGAAACACAGCAATACTGAAGACAGATCAGCAACTCCTACAACACTGTTTAACCCTTACAAGTTAATCTGTACACCGGACAGGGCTGAGAGCACTGGATAACAGATGGCTGGTCAATCAGTGCATCTCTAGTAGCAACTTTTGTTTGCTTGCTTCAACAATAAGATTCTTACTATCCAAAGACAGCAACAGAACACCAAGGAACAAATAGGCCACAGAATAACATCGGTGGTGTTTTCTGTTTTTTCAAAGAAAATGGGAGTTGAAAAAAAAATATTAGTCAGCTGTTGAGAGGAAAATCCACATTTCTCTCTTAACCTCCTAAGACCCGAACTCTTTCATGGCATGCATTTTTAAAAGCTCTTTGCTATTTTGGGATCTGATTAATGTAAAAACAAAGAATTACCAGAATTTTTTTTTTTTACCTGATTTTTGTTTCTGAGAGGAACGAGATCCACATAGGAGGATATTCGCTTTAAATTGCGATAGAACAGTGGCAGTATAATGTCCTCGTAAGTGGAAATCAGGTTCTTGTAGAGCAAAATTTTGTATTTTGGTCTAGACATCCCAAAATGTGATGTCCACCAGGTCCTTGGAGGTTAAAGTAGGTGCTAATAAATGACATTTCAGCTACTTTCAAACTCAAGAACCCTGCAGCCAAATGTAAAATCTGGAACCTTTCTGCAGCCCTTACAAGTCACATTAGACTAAGCTACAGTCTCTCTGTCTATATGTTGATGATTTTCTTGTTGAAAGCAGATTCTTTAATTTCTTGATGCGTGCTCAATCATACAAGTAAGTAAATCCCCCAAAGCTGATTCTGTTCACCTGGACGTAGCGTTTTCAGTGGGAGAAACGTTTCATCGTTTATCCAAGTGACTTCTTGAGTCTCAGCTGCCTGCAGGTTTCCCCAGTCTTATAAGCAGTACATTATACAACAGTACAACAGGCTGGGAGGTCAGTTCTTTGATCAGATTCTTTAATTGGTGAAGTCCACACTTTGGGAATCATTAACATGTGTGAATTACTCCCTCCTGACTGAAGTGTTATACCTGTATAAAAGTAATAAGTCAAGGCGCACTAACAGATCTCAAAATATTCGGTTCACTTGAAATGGTCTTAACATCGATGCACTGTTTAATGTCAGTTCCTCAAACAGCAACGCTGCAGTCCTGGTTGGTGTTGTCAAAGTCTTATTTTATCATGTTTGCACTGAATGAACCTGACCTGGAGTAGGTTTGAGTTTACTGCTATGCTGCTGTGACTGCAAACATCAAAAGCTGCTTCAAAGAACTGGAAGATCCCAGCATCACACAGAGAATAGGTACCGCTCTCCCTCTCACGCCCGGTGTGGATGGGCCTGGGCCCCTGGCCTTGGAGATTTACTTACCTGGATGATTGAGCATCAAGACACAACAAGATGTTGTTTATTATATAAATTATGGTCCTATTAGAATAAAAAAAGATGATAAAGCAGTGCGAGCCTACTTTGTGACTAAAAAGTCAGTTCAGTCGAGTCGTTTTAACGGATTATCCTACACTCACCACATCTACAGGAAACAGTTTGTTTCTTTCTTGGTTTTATTGTTTAATTTATTAACATCAATATAGAAAGACTGCTCAGACTTCTCTCTATTATATGTTATTTTAAATTTGCTGCTATTTTTATATCATTAAGTCTTCTGTGGTTTGCAGCAACAATTAGGCACTTCGTATGTTGGAAAACTCCCATCTCTGGATTCAGGGACCACAACAGGACATAATGATACCTGTAAGAGGTCTTGCATACAAACAAAAAGCAACTCATCTATGAGTTGAATTCAGACTAAAGTTACTTTTTGCTTCAGTGTCAGTGAATCTCACATTTTCCAGATATTTGATTGTCTATTTAATCTTTTGTTTCCTTGAAGACGTCACTCTTTGCATTGAATCTGAGAATATTATTTACGTTTTTCAAAAGCAATAAGAATCGTTTAGTGATTAAAATGCCACTCACCATTCAAATGTACATTGATTTCCTTTTGTGCCTGATGGTTGATTTCCTTCTGTGTGGCGACACAGTGATAGCGGCCACTTTTTTCCACAGTAGTATTGACGGTGATGTAGAAGTGACCTCCTTGTTCAGAGACATGTGGCTTCTCAGAGGGAATGATTTGATCCTTACTGTCCTGCCACTCCACTGTAGGTTTGGGGTAAGCATTCTTAACATCACACTGAAGCAGTGCCCCGCCATATAGTCGAACAAAAATTGTGATCTCTGGCTCTGCTGCTCCTGTGAACACATAACAGAGAGATTATGTAAGAACAATAGCAGCTAATTGGTTATTTTTTCCTGTTCAGCTACTCTAAGTGCAGATGTGGATTATGATGTATTTGATAAGAAAAAGTGGAGTACTGCGTTAACTTTTCTAACATCACAGCTCTGATGTTTGAGGACAAATGTAGTTTTTACTCTAAACAATATTTTTGACTCACATTAATTAATTTCTACACAGAAAAAGTTTAGACATCCCAAAGTTTGTCTAAGAGTTATATAAAAGATTTTAAAAAAAGTTTCAGGCATTTCATAATGTAATAACTGTGGCGGTTACAAAAAATATCATCAACAAAAGCTCTCCAAAATAAAAATACATTTGAATCCACATTTCTCCACATAATTAAATTTTTTTAATTACACTGAGAGGGATGAGATACATTTTGAGCAAAATCTCATCAGGTAGTTTCTATTGGACTGAACAGCTATGTCTAACAAACACAATGTCCGGATCAATAACAGATTTTGGGTTACTCAACTAATAATGAATTAGATAACGTAGCAAAAACCCACACCAAATATTTACATATACATTTACAAATACAATTAAAACAGTTTTATTTCCCTGAACTGTTTATAAAAAAATAATCAGTAAATGCTTTGCAGGCTTCTAACCAACAGTAAAGTCGCTGGTGGATCAATTTTTAACTGAGCCTCACCACAAACGGAACTCACCTGGTCGTTCCGGACCTTTAACCTTTTGAAACGCAGAGTTGTATGCACCAAGTTAATGTAAAAACTAATAAATTATCATGCTGCATATTTTCATGATGACCGAAGCACGATACAGAATTATACGTCATTGAAAGCTGGACGTTCGTTTTTCAGCAATTCGTGAACATCATGAAGAATTTACGACATAAAACAGTAACGTCTTCATTACGGCAGTAAATAGTTATTAACCTTACTGCTAGCCTGTCGCATCACCGATAAAAGCCGTTTATTGGAGTGATAAACATGTTTAAAAGACAAACATGAGCTCGATTTAAAGAACAAAACCCCGCAAATTAACTTCAGTTCGTTTTAGTTTAACCGGGATTAAAAAATAACCTGAAAAACGTGAATTTATTCTCTCGTCAAGTTTTATCGGAGCTACGCAAACTTCTAAAACTGCGACATTAAAACCAATTTTTAAGTATTGATAAATATTTTATCAATCAAGTTCGGTATTTCTGAAATCTGTAAACGTCCACGAGCAGAGTTAACCAATCGGTATCTTTCTCCTACGCTGTGAAGACGATTAATCCAATCAGCCAATCAGAAAAGTGAAGCTTCACACTAGCTGTAAGCACGTTTGATTGACAGCTACTGTCATATAATAGAAAATCACCGCAATGAAATCACTCTCCGTTTGAAGACAGGAAAACCCCCTTTCTGACCATATATGGAAGTTTATGTGTTAGCCTCGCTGTTTCAATGGAACGAAACGAAATCATAGAAAACGGTTTTGTCTGTCGAAAAAAAAGCGATTAAATTATAACAAATGTGTAAATCTTTATTTTAATTATTCAATGCATCATGTTGTAATTGAATTTAGCATTTAGGAACATTTGAAATGCAAGAAGAAGTTGAATGAATCCTTATAATTTGTTAACTTTGGAGAGATTATTGTGGCGTTTTAAGGTAATTGATTAGACATGCTCTGCTTTGCACTTTGAACTAAACTGTAATATCTTACAGCTACTTCTATATGTCAGCCTGAAATTTGGTACATTTATTTGAGACAAATTTTAGATTACATCCTGTAAATTTCAGCCTCCTAGCCCTCATAATGACTGATTAACTGTCATTACACATATGAAGTAAAAACCTAAAAATAACAAGGCTTCCGTCAATACCCGTATAATCATCAAACAAATGATCTGTTTTAGAGCTAAAGGTAAAACTAACAGACTACATGAAATATTTACAGATGTTACTTCACAGTGATCAAACAGGCAGTATCAGTTATTTATGGTTTGGAAATTATTCAAAAGTTTACTATGGTAGTTACAGACATGCAGAAGTGACATGACTGTGAGCTAACAAGTAATACGGGCTCTGAAAGGAGAAAAAACACACATGTTAGAGGTGACTGTGGTCTCATCAATTTGGCAGACAGATAAAACTGATGAAAATAAACTTTGAAGTGTTATCCTGCTATATTAGACATGTTTTTTATAATCCCAAAAGAAAGCACAGTCACAGATTAAAAAAAATCCTTAAACATTTAAACTGGAGGCTGGTTTATCCTGGTGGATGGCTGATAATCACACAGTGAGTCACACTTTGAACAGCTGTGTGTCTGAAATATAAGGAGAAATTAATATTTATTCAGTGTTTATAGTTTCATTCGCAGAGATTTTCTTTTCTTTCTGCCTTTTTTTTTGAAGACTCCTCAAATTTTAGATAACTTGACATACGCAGGACCAGCGTGCACATAGGAGGTTAAGTTCCAAAAGCACCTCATAGCTGCTATTTTTAACTTCTTTTTCAAGGAAAGGTGGGGAATTGACACGGAGTTAGGAAAAGAGAAGAGGCGTGTGCTGACAGTGGGAACCACCTTACATTAATCTGTCCTTAATGATGTAGCACAATTTGTCCTAACTCTGATGTTTGGTCATATAAGCAAGAACAGCCTGTAAAAAAGGTACACGTTTCAGGAAGTCCAGGAAGACTTGAGAAACATGTTGAAATTGAACACAGGTGCTGAGAACCAATGTGGTTTTGTTTTATTTGATCAATATTTTTCAGTTACAGTTTGATCAGATTTAGTTGCTTATATTTATATTATATATTATATTTAGTTTTAGGAAATCTTTCAGTTTCACAAATGTGAAAAAACTGTTTAAATAAGTTATCAGTAGTTTTAGGATAATTAGGATAAAGCAAGAGATAATTCAAAACACCAAAATGGGGACGGTGAAACAGTCAGCTTGAGATACCATAACAGGACGTCATTAACCAGTTAGTGATGTCATGCTAGTTATGTCCAGCTTTTATATACAGTGTATGTTTGAGGTTTAGCCGGACTCTGTTCCAGGAAGCATGTTCAACAAAATCTGAGCTGATTATCTCAGTTTGCTGTAGAAACACATGTGAGCATCAGACTGGATCATAGCTTCTACATCCACAGGTCTGCTGAGGTCTGTGTGATGTAAAGTTTCTCACAGAGTTGAGACGTCTCAGATATTTTATTTTGTTTAGGACGACTCTGTGAGCGCGTCAGATTTCTGATAAGTAGACAGGAGCAGGACCAGCATGCAGAAGGGACGGTCTCAGTTTGTCCACCAAATATTGCAAATATCACTACAGGTGTGCTGTAGGGGTGAGACCCAGATGTGCATGCTGACTGTTTCCTCTGTAAACAATCAGCTGATAACAGCACTCACCAACAACAAGCTCAATCCTGAATGTTTTTCTTCTGCTTGGAAAGTCACAGGTGTAGTTTCCTCCGTCCTCCAGTTGAGCATTTTTTATTCTTATGGAGGCGTTGCCGTTCTCCAGATCATCTCGAAAATGTGAGACTCGACCTGGGAGGGCAGGACTACGATCCACCCCAGTATCATGTATATACACCTCCTTTTCAGTTCCTTCCTTCGTCCACTCAAACCGCACAAACTCAATGCTGGTGCCGAGGGAACAGGGTAAAATGGCATAATCACCTTCTCTCACAATCACAGATGTCCCTGAAAGACAAAACATGAATTAAACAGTGAGTTCACTCTTCAGTTTAGTTCCTCTTCACATTTTTCTGTGGTCCACGCCCCACTGCACAGTTTGAATGACAGGTTTAAATGGAGGGCGAAGAAGCTCAAGAGTTTGATTATATTTCTAATATAAACTTGATAAATAGTATTTTGTGTTTTATAGTTATTTTGGCCTCTGGTATTGGTTTCTGATTTCATTATTTGTGCCTTTAATCCTAATTAGTTATTGATGACTTTCGGTTTATTACTTCCTCTTTGTATTTCCTTTCTCTGCACTCAGTCTTATTTTGTGTCTTTTTTCCATGTTTGTCTTTCTGTGAACATTTCATATGTTTGAGTTCTTGTCTCTGTGTTAGTGATTTACTGTTTTATTTTAGTGATCCTTGTTCAGTGTGTTTAGTGTTCAGTTTTACTTTCCTCAGTTTTATTTTCCCTGATGAGTTTCAGTTGTGTTGCCAGGTGTGTCTGTCTGCTGTGGGTTTACAGCTCCTGTCTATCCTCAGCCTTTTTCACATCAAAAACGCTGTGGGTAGTTTGTTTGTTGTAAGTTTCAGACCTGCCAATGAGTCTGGATTTGGGGTCCTAGCTCTTCCTGAAATACCACAAGGATCATTGTGAACTGTGAATCATGTTAAACTGTTCCAGTAGTGTCTAAGAATAAAATATGGATCTAGAAATGAGTATAATAGCTCACCTTTACTCTATTTATTACATTTATGTTTTCAGAAGTCAGTCAGTCTCTGGATTGGTCATGATCGACTCTGGGCTGGACCAATTACAGCCGAGGGTGTCAGATGCACCCTCCCCCTTTGCTTGGGCAACAGCTCTGAAAGCAATTTTATCACAGTTATCTGCTTTAATCTGCACATTTGAGAGTTATACCAGAAAGCCAAGTACTACAGGAGCTACAGTATCCAGAGTCATAAATTATTAAATAGATGTCGACTCCTTTTGGAGTAGCTGCTCTGAAGATGATATCAGTGGGAGAGTTATATTCTTAAACTCAGTTACAGCACTTTCAGAAAGACATCTACTGTGATGAAGTCTACTCCCCACTGCTGTGTAGAGATGGCACGATACCACTTTTTTATGTCCGATACCGATATCATAAATTTGGATATCTGCCGATACCGATATGAATCCGATATAGTGTTTTTTAATCAACAAAACTGTTTTTTTAAATATCTTGCTGCATTTTGTATAAGTTCATACTCAAGTTTAAAACAACAACTACACTAAAGCTATTCTGTTATACCTGTATGCAAAAAAAATGTTTCATAGTTCAGCAATACTGATCAATCTAATAAACTTAAACCTACACCATCCTCCCTATTCTGGTATTTTAAACAGTACTTTGCGTAAATATTAAGCAACCTAACTAATAGGGTTCCAACTCCCAGCAACAACAAAAATAAATAAATAAAAAATAGGGAACCACCCCTCACGCTCCACCTCATGATGCTTAATCGACGTAATCAACCTTTATTTGATGCAGTGTGAAAAAAAATGCACAGAAATCAATTATTTTTCAAGAAATATTAAATAGATTCAACATCTTTCTTCAACAAAATTGCAGACTGCACAGATGGTACCTTCCCAAAGGAAAAAGTACTATAGCTTTCTAGGGTATATATATTAGACTTAATAGTTACTATATACAGTAATTGACTTCTATTCATTTTACATCAAATTAAAACTTTGGGTGTAAGATTCGGATAATTATTTATTAAAAGCTCGACATTTTAAATGAGAATAAGAAAGAAAAGTATGTCTTTGTGCCCCCTTTTCCCTGTTAATGCCCTATCGGCCCCCCTGGCTAAACTTTGCTAGATCCGCCCCTGCACAGTTACCAGCCGTCAGCTGTAGAAAAAGATCCTGGTGTAGAAAGTAATATTAAATAAATTCTAACAACAGCTTATCAAGCTTAAACGTGCTGCTGTTGTTCAGCCGCTGGTTTCCTCTTTCTGGTGCAAAGTGGGCCAAAAACAAACAAGAGAGACGGACTCGCTACAGAAAAGCCGATCAGCTGATCATTAAGCAGTTTCATGATTGAAGTAGCAGCAGGAGAGGCAGTCGCTTGTTAAGCTTAACGCAGGAATGCTTTACAAACATTCAGAGATGGACTTACACACTTGCTTTACTTCTCTCGGGATAACTTTGTCGGAGATGAAATGCCGGGTTGGTAGCTAAGCTCCAAATGCTATCCAGAGCACCAACAGGTCCTGCATGCCACAGCCGCTCTATCACGTGATGCATACTGCTCCAACGTGCTAACGTTCTGAGGTGAGTTACGGTGTGTTGCAACTTTTGTGAGGTGCTTTCGTGATATTTAATGGATCGGATTGCATTTTTTTATTTTTCTCCGATATCCGATCCAGTAATTTAGGTCAGTATCGGACCGATACCGATACGTAATATCGGATCGGTCCATCTCTACTGCTGTGTAATCAATTATTGTAAATTTAAATGTTATTATGAAATGATCACACAGGAGAGGGTTTTCAGGAAACACTGTTGTTCAGTTTCTATATCATATGTTAAAACGAGAACATATGCGTGGAATGACACAACATCAATAAAATAAAGTCACATGCAGCCAGTAAACGCAACAACAACCAGCAGCTAAGTGCACCAAGAAGCCAGAACACAATCGAAGGTCTCTGCTTAGCAAACCCTGCAGCAACTCTGCTCCCGAAGCTGACAGTTTGGAGGCGGAACATGAAGGAAGAAGGCACTCATGTGATTGGTCACTTTCAAAGCAGCCACGCCACAGCCTCTGTGATTGACAGGCCCAGTTACTGCGTTAAACCAGGGTACATGATGGCAGTAACATCAGCGCTGTAAGCCAGGAGGCGGGGGGAAACATCAGGGACACAAACTCTGTGTTTATAATTTGGAAAAGGAACGTTTGATCTGCTACATTGATCAAACCAGCTCCTCACTATGTCCTGCGTTACGCGTGTATACTGGGTATTACGGTAAGGGAAACTGAGCTCGGATTTCAAACTAAAAGCAGTTTTTAAGGTGAATGTGATTTCATCATTAAACAGCATGTATCCAGTCATTAATGATATAATAAATCATGAAATACATAAAAATATAGAAATTGTTGTCAAAAGTGTTCAAATTGTAGGTACTATATATAAAAACAAATTTACTATGCTTTGTTGACACATTCATTTGAATTGTTATACATTACTATCATAATAAAAAAAATAGTTTAACAATTTGCTATTATATTTATACTATATTATGGCTGGTTAACTGTTATTAGTATTAAACTCCAGCATACCCTATGATGGAGTTCATTGTTTTCATTTATATTATCATTCTGACTTCATTCTGAAGGTACAACTTCCTTTAATTGTGAAAATCTATCACAGGGAGACAGTCAACCATTAATGCTCACATCGACACATATCATTATGATCAATATTAACAGCTCCAGTGGTATACACATTCACCTAACAAGAGAAAGTTCCCTGCTCTGATGAGGAGGCGTCACCAAAGGAGTCCAAATGTACAGAGCTGCCTGCTGTGAAGACCTCTTGTGAATAATGGAGCAGCCAAAGTAGCTTCTTTATGGTGTCAGAGCTCAGTTTTTCAAAATAATAATAAAATTCCACAAAGTTCTAAAATATTTATTTTCTTATCTGATTTTAAATCCAAATTTAGAATGGATTGTGAGGAAATTTAGTGTCTTCACAAATGAATTTCACTTCTGATGGATACGGACTTAGATTTCAATTTATGCCACAATTTAAGTCATTAATGGTCTATACCTGTAAACGTATAGTGAAAGAAAGGGGACTGGAGACGAGTGCTCTGTGTACCATGGAAAGTTTAAGGGAGGATTCAGGGTCACCTGACCCAACCTAACCGTAAGCTTTATCACAAAGAAAGTCTATTTAAACAAATGAACAATACAGTGTTTGAATCCAAACTGGGGCTGTTGAAGGACATAACCTTGTTAAAAAATGACCACAGGATTCCTCACAGTAATCCTGCGGACCAAGGTAATGCCATCCAGAATAAGTAACTGGTTACACACCAGAGATCTTCAGTAACTTTGAGTTTAGAAGCAGACTGTTACAGGCAGTGTTGGGAAGGTTACTTTTAAAATGTATTCCACTACAGATTATAGATTACATGCCCCAAAATGTATTTTGTAACGTATTCCATTATGTTACTCAATGAAAGTAAAGTATTTTGAATACTTTGGATTACTTAATATATTATCATGCTTTTTACAATTACATGAATGTACTATTGCTGTGATTTATTACTATTAATTACTATTAATTAAAAACCTTAATATAAATGAGTAACAGTAAGTGGACATTAGGTAAGGCTGCACTTTTTGCAGCGACCTCGTATAGAAAACTATTCCACGCGTATATAAAACAGGCCCGCGGCTCCGAACCGTAGGGACCTCTGGCTGATACGTCGGGTTCGTGTTGGGCTCGTAGCTGAAAACTAGCTTTACTTTGTTGTCTGGGTCAACTTTGCTAGCGAGAGACAGAGAGAGGCGTTGAAAGGCTGCTGCAACGGGACTTATTGTTTCAGAGGAAAACACAAACACAGCGTACAGTCGAGTCTTAATAGCTGACTTACGACTCTCCTTTTTCTCCCTCGCTTACAGACACATAACGCAGCACAGACTACACTGCCCATGAAGCTCCATTCTTTAGGACGATGCCTGTAACACTCTGCCTATTGCCTTCATATTAAATATTTTTTGTGAATAATTTTTTTAAATATTTCTTCACGTCATTGTGCGGTCGCAAGTAGAGGTGAGACACAGACATGAGAGCCTCTTAATGCGTGTTTTGTTTAGGTTTCCACCTGCGTGGAAACTAAAAATAGAGAGGACAAACAGGAAAATACCACCATGTAATCCATACATTTCAACAAAGTAACTGTATTCTAAATACCACCTTTTTAAACGGTAACTGTAACGGAATACAGTTACTCATATT